CTGAACCGTTTGTCGTTGGAATATATCATGGATATAACAAACCTGATAGATGTGATGTATTTCTTCAAGAATTCATCAAAGAATACAGTACTTTACAAAGACAAGGCTTCCAATATTATGATAGAACGTTTAAAATCATAATTAGAGCTATCATTTGTGATTCTCCGGCTCGGTCGTTTGTAACATGTACAAAAGGACATAATGGCTTATTTGGATGTGGTAAATGTATGCAAGAGGGCGAATATGAAGATCGTCGAATGTTATTTCTAGAGATGGATGCACCATTACGCACAGATGACAATTTTCTACAACGAGTAAATGAAAATTATCATATCGGAAAATCCATTTTTGAAAAAGTAAATATCGGTATGGTATCTCAATTTCCTGTGGAATATATGCATCTCGTCTGTCTTGGCGTTACGAAGAAAATACTAAAAGCTTTTACCAAAGGATGACACGTAAATGAAAATCAAATTGTAAAATTCAATAGCAAAATGATGAAAGAAATTTCGGAATATTTAATCTTATCAAGAAAATGGATACCAACTGAATTTACTAGGAAAACACGAAGTTTGGATGAATTGGATCGATGGAAAGCAACTAAACTGCGTTCTTTTTTGTTGTATGTTAGTTGTATTGTAGGCTCACTTGCTCTGAAAAATTATCTATCGAGTGAATATTTATATCATTTTAACACTTACCATTGCTTTAACATTGCGCCATAAGGATCCTGTGTCACGAGACTAACTGCATTCATAATAATGTGCAAAAAATTTATTGCGCTTTTTCGTCAAAGAATCTGAAAAAAAAACTTGAATTGGAAATATGGAGAAACCCAAATACATTGCGCGATTAGAACAATATCTATGGGAGTTTTACATAGAGGTGGACTCGGCGTGTTCATGCGGGTTATGGGAAAGAACGTGCCTTGAGTGTCTCGAGTGGTTGGAAGAACAGTACCGACTCGCGATATTACAACAGAGGCGCGGAATTCAATCGCTGTTTGGCAGAATCGCGCGACTTGAAAGTTTAAGACATTCGTTACGCAAACGTTACAAACCCATAGATGTCCGTGTCCCGGCGCTGTCTACAAACACTCCTGTGACTTCACTTGTACAAATGGTACAAGGCCGAGAAATCGGCTTGAAGAAATCTAATACAATAGATTTGGATCATCGTCTGAGAGATCATGAAGAAGTGATGTACAAGGAATGGGATTTTGATATATAAAACACAGCTGACGTCTCGTTATGAACCGCATTGAAATACTCGAAGAATTAATTGTAAGTATCTTCTTTTTTAAAATTTATATTAGATTTATAAAAATTAAATTCTTATACTAATAAGACTTGTATTTTTTTTGTTTAAGATGGAGCGCCGCATTATTATTATTATCATTTTTATTATCATCATTATTTTATTATTATTAACACACAAACACACACACACAAACACACAAACACGCAAACACAAACACACACACACACACACACACAAACAAACACACACATACACAATTATATTATATACACAATTTTTAAATAAATATTGTTATTATTATATTTAAAAAAAAATGTTGATTAGTTCTGCGCCTCCTTCTCCCACGTCCATGCATGCCTCGCGCTGTCTCTCTCTTTCTCCCACATGCATGCGAACGTCATCCTTTTCCCACGCCAATGCGGACGCAATCCTTTTCCTACACGTGTGCATGCTTCGCGCTATCCCTCTCCCAAGTGCATGCCTCGCGCCATCTCTCTCCAACGTGCATGCCTCGCGCCATCTCTCTCCAACGTGCATGCAAACGCTATCCTTGTCTTACGCTCATATGGACACCTCGCGCTATCCTTCTCCCACGCTCATAGAATATCATTAGCG